GGTGTGGAAACAGCTTTCATTACAAGGCTGAAAAAACCTGAATGCTGTAAGAGAAATGCAGATGAAAAATGAGAGTCTATTTCCCACTGGGGACATCAAGGTAGCCCTCCTGGAGAAAGAGGCTCCTGATGGGTCTGGAAGAGCGGGTGATTTGATGCAGTAATGCAAGTGAAGGGGTTCTTGGTTTTCTAAAGAGCACAGTTCAAGACATAGGACAGGATATTGGTGGGTGGACATAGGGAAAGCAAGTAGCTCCATTTGTCTGTGGCAAAACTGTGTGAAGGGAGTGGTGGGAAGTAGGTTAGGGTCAGATGACAAGATCTTGAGATGCTGGACTAAGAGTTTGGGTTTTATAGATAAGAGGGAGCCATCAAAGATTGTTGAACAGGAGAAATCCTTGGTACCTGTTTTATTTAGTCCAGACTAATCTGCAGTTGTGAACAAAGTAATAGATTGGAAATATACATGCATGCACACATACATGACATGTACATCTTCAGAAATGTGCAGACGTGGCAGACCCAGTGGCTCACATCTATAATCCCAGCACTTTGGGAGGCCGAGGTGGGGGCATTGCTTGAGCCCAATTTGAGACCAGCCTAGGAACATGGGAGACCTTATCTCTACAAAAAATGAGGATCACTTGAGCCCAGGAGGTCAAGGCTGCAGTGAGCCATGATCGTGCCATTGCACTTCCACCTGGGTGACAGAGCAAGACCCTGCCTCAAAAAAAAAACATGCACAGACACACGTGTACACGAATGTACACTTCAAAAGCAAAGGATTAATTCCTGAACCCAGCTATTTTAAAATTCTGAATTGTATTTGTTTATTTAAACAAGGCCGGGTGCGGTGCCTCATGTCTGTAATCCCAGCACTTTGGGAGGCCAACGCAGGCAGATCACCTGAGGCCAGGAGTTTGAGACCAGTTTGGCCAACATGGTAAAACCTTGTCTCTACTAAACATACAAAAATCAGCCAGGCATGGTGGTGTGAGTCCATAGTCCCAGCTACTTGGGAGGCTGAGGCAGGAGAATCGCTTGAATCTAGGAGGCAGAGGTTGCAGTGAGCCCAGATTGTGCCACTGCATTCCAGCCTGGGCGACAGAGGGAGACTCTGCCTCATAAATAAATAAATAAATGTAATACATTCACAGTGTCTAAAATCCAAATGAAATATAAGCAAATGGCCAGGTGTGGTGGCTCACACCTGTAATCCCAGCACTTTGGGAGGCCAAGGTGGGCAGATCACCTGAGGCCAAGAGGCCAAGAGTTCCAGACCAGCCTGGCCAACATGGCAAAACCCTGTCTCTACTAAAAACATAAAAAATTAGCTGGGCGTGGCAGTGGGAGCCTGTAATCACATGCTAATGCGGAGGCTGGAGCAGGAGAATCGCTTAGACCTGGGAAGGCAGAAGGCTGCAGTGAGCCAAGATCATGCTAGCGCAGCTCCAGCCTGGGGCAACAGCGCAATCCTTTCCGCTCAAGAAAAAAAAATATATAATATATAATATAATACAATCACACACACCACACACACACATAACTATATGCTGAAATTCAGCTATCTCCCCCCAATGTTCCAGGCCCCCAGTTCATTCTGTCTAAAAGCAAGAACAGTGGCCAGTTTGAGAGCTTCCTTCCAGAAACCTTCTGTGTTTAGACAAGCAAATACCCAGCTGCATTGTTATTACATACGTTTTTCTGCACCTTGGTTTTCTCATGTAATATACCTTGGAGATCCTTACACATCAGTACATGGAGGGTTATCCTGGTCTTTTTAACAGCAACATACTCCTCCATAATAATGGGACATTTGCATTATTTCTGCTCTTTTGCTCTTACTAAAATGTTGCAATGAAAAATCTTGAACATATGTCATTTTGCTTAGTCATTCATTCAGACATTTATTGAGCACCTACTATGTACTGGGCAGCATTCCAGGTGCTGGAGATAGAACAGTAAACAAAACAGGCAGAAGTCCCTGCCCTCATGGAACATGACATCTATTGTGAACGTGTGAGTACATCTTCAGGATACATTCCTACAGGTGAAATAGCTGAATCAAAGCATCTGTGCATTTTTAAAATGTAGTAGATAAAGCCAAATCCCCATCCCACCAAGACAGAGTCTATCAATTTACCCTTGCAATGTATGAAAGTGCCTATTTTCCCACACCTTTACCAACAAAATGCTATCAAATATTTTCATCTTTGCCAAGGTGACAGGTGAAAAACAACTGTGATTTTAATTTGCATTTCTCTTATGATGAGTGAGGTTAAGCATCTTCTCATCTATTTGAGAGCAATTTCAAGGCTGGGCATAGTGACTCATGTCTGTAATCTCTGCAATTTGGAAGGCAGAGGCGGAAGGATCGATGGAGCCCAGGAGTTAGAGACCAGCCTGAGCAACTTAGGGAGTCCCCATCTCTACAAAAAATAAATACAAAAATTAGCCAGGCGTGGTGGTGTGCACCTGTAGTCGCCTCAGGAGGCTGATGCAGGAGAATCACTGGAGCCTGGGAGGACAAGGCTGCAGTTAGCCATGATCATGCCACTGTACTCCAACCTGGGAGACAGAGCAAGACTGTCTGAAACAAACAAAGCAATTTCAGGCCCTATCCTGTCAACTTTCTGATATCCTTTGCTCATATTTTTACTAAATTGTGGATATTTTTCACACTGAGCTGTGGAATTTTTTTTTTTTTTTTTAGCTCTTTGCCTGTGGTATGAGTTGCAAATATTTTCCCCCTAGTTTGTCATTGGTTTTTGGACTTTGCATGTGGTGATTTTTTTTTTTTAAATGCAGACTTGTAAAATGTGAAATAAAATTTAAAAGAAATTCTGCTCATGCACTTTGCCTCCTTATGGTGAAATGCTTGTTAGGATTGAAAGAGATAAAGGCCAGTGCAGTGGCTCACACCTGTAATCCCAGGACTTTGGGAGGCCAACGTGGGTGGATCATGAGTTCGTGACCAGCCCGGCCAACATGGCGAAACTCTTCTACTAAAAATACAAAAATTAGCCAGGCATGGTGGCACGCTCCAGTAATCCCAGCTACTTGGGAGGCTGAGGCATGAGAATCACTTGAACCTGGGAGGCAGAGGTTGCAGTGAGCCCAGATTGTGCCACTGCACTCCAGCCTGGGCAACAGAGTGAGACTCATTCTCAAAAAAGAAAGAAAGAAAGAAAGAAGGAAAGAAAGAAAGAAAGAAAGAAAAAAGAAAAGAAAGAAAAAAGATATATATATTCCAACAACATAATCCTGGGTTCCATTAACAAAAGCACATGTTCTGGCCAGTCACAGTGGCTCATACCTGTAATCCCAGCAATTTGGGAGGCTGAGGCGGGCAGATTTTCTGAGGTCAGGAGTTTGAGACCACTCTGGCCAACATGGTGAAACCTTGTCTCTACTAAAAATACAAAATTAGCTGGGCATAGTGATGCATGCCTATAGTCCCAGCTACTAGGGAGGCTGAGGCAGGATAATCGCTTGAACCCAGCAGGTGGAAGTTGTAGTGAGCCGAGATAGCGCCATTGCACTCCAGCCTGGGTGAGAAGAGTGAAACTCTGTCTCAGGTAAAAACAAACAAACAAACAAACAAAAAACACATTCTAGAAAAGGAAGGTGAGAGTCCTATCCTTTTCTGGTGCTCCATCTTAAGAGGGCTTTGGACAAAGGGGGGCAAACTCAGAGGAGGGTGACTGGGTTTTAAATCAGATCACATAAGGAATGTCCATAGAACTGGCATCTTTGAGCCTAGAGCAGATCGCTGTCTATGACTATCATCTGAGGCAATGGGACTAGCCTCATGATACAAAACCGGTCCATATAGTAGAGATCCTGGGAAGCCAAGAGTCTGACAATAGAGCTCTTTTCAAGGCAGAGCTGCCTGAAGGTGGATTAGCCTATTTTGTGAGGAAGTAGTTCATCACCAGAGATGCACAAACCAGAACTGGATGACCACCTCCCAAAGATGCTAAGGGTTAGGCCACATCCCTTTCAAAACTCCTTTCAATCCTGAGACCTCATCATTCTACAAGAATACAAGGAATAGGCCGGGCATGGTGGCTCACCCTTGTAATCCCAGCACTTCAGGAAGCTGAGGTGGGCGGATCTCGAGGTCAGGAGTTCAAGACCAGCCTGGCCAAAATGGTGAAACCCTGTCTCTACTAAAAATACAAAAATTAGCGGGGCATGGTGGCAGGTGCCTGTAGTCCCAGCTACTCGGGAGGCTGAGGCGGGAGAATGGCGTGAACCCAGGAGGTGGAGGTTGCAGCGAGCCAAGATTGCACCACTGCACCCCAGCATGGTTGACAGAGCGAGACTCCATCTCAAAAAAAAAAAAAAATATAAGGAATATTAAAATTCCTAATTTCACAAATGAAGAAAAGGGGGAAACTGACATGCATTGAGCACCTACTTTTTCCTAGGCACTTCAGCATATGTGACTTGATTTTAAAGGATGAGAACCAGGAAGGTGGAGTGGTTCACCTAAGGCTGCACAGCAATGTAGAACTGGAACCCACATCCCCAGACTCCAACTCTAGAGCTCTCTCCACTGAACCTCCTGTCCCTGTTGAATAATTAAACATATGTTCATCGCATGTTTATTGTATACCTATTCTAAATGGACAGTAATGTGGACAAGAAAAGCACATTGTATGCAGGGTATTAGTAAAGTCACGGGGTCTGCTCTGCAGAAGGTCACTGCCTAGTGGGCAAATACAGGTGCCATCTCTGCATTGCTTGATTTAATGTAAATTGTGTTCCCTGGAGTTGTGCAATGTGGTAACCCCAGATAGACTGATAAGGAAATATGAGGCAATTTGGCAAGTGTTGTAATGAAATCACACACAGAGTGCCATGGGAATGCAGAAGGCATGATTAATTCTACCAGGGAAGTGAATCCAGGAAAGCTACACAAAGGAGGTGACACCCGAGCAGGGCCTTGAAGGGTATGTAAAAAAAAAAAAACAAAGGGCAGAAGAGAATAATATGTATATTCACACCACAAACATTTATTGAGCAGTTCCAGGTTTCCAGGGATAGATGAGTAATTCACTGTTGATAGAGGAGACAGACAAATCACCAATAAATTGCCATAGCGTATAAGTGTAACCGTGAAAACGGACTTGCCAGGCAAAAGTGGTGATAGCTCCTTCTGGAATAAAGTGAGGCATCTGGGAAAGCTCCTGGAGAAGTGATATCTGAGATTTTAGGAACAGAAATAAATATTTTGCAGACTGATGATAAGGCAGTTGGGAGAAAGGGAAAAGCATTTTCACCAGAGGGAATGGCATGTGCAAAGTTTGTGACTCTTGAAAGATGATTCACTCTGTCTTCAGGTGCCCAAAGCAGAGCTGAAAGGCTTGAGTGGAAACTGTTGGCATGGTGGCAGCCAAGCAGGAGGTGGAACTGACAGGTGTTTGGGCAGGACCCACCAGGTTTCCAGATGAGTGGGGAAACGACATTGGTGTGCATCAGGATTTAGGAGGCTTAGCAACCTTCCCTTCAAAGCCAAGCCCCAGATTGAGAGCTGGAAGAGAAAAGTGTGAGCTGTAAATCACCAGCTCCTCCCGCTGTGCCCAGTACTACAGAGCTAGGAGTCTCCACCAGCTCTCCAGTCCCACCGCTGCGACCCTGGCTAATCCAGCCTCCTGGCCCATCTGACACACACTTCCACTTAACATTTTGTTAGTAACTCTATAAACGAGCTCTCCCTGACCTTCAATCCCTGGCTAATTGCTGGTTTCATGTACAAGACTAGCTTAATTTTACGTGATAATTACCTGAGAGTGGTAATACATATGGCATTGCATGTTCAAAATGTCAGGCCTGGAAATCTACCAAGTGGCCATAGTCAGGGGCAAAGGGAGGAGGCAGCCAGGGTCCACGAGGAGGGGCAAAAAATGCGGACACCCAATACAGACAGAACTCCAGAGAAGCAGGGTCCTGGTCTACAGCAGGACTCAGAATCCTCGGCTGGCACAGTACACCCAGGGGCACAGGCCAGAGGAGCGGCACGTGCTGCAGCCTCACGTGCACATGTGCCCATCTCTCGGAGAAACACCAGCCAGGTCAGGGGCATGGCTCATACACACTCTCAGTCATCCTTTCAACACACGCTCACTGAGCCCCTACTATGTGCCAGGCAGCGTACAGGCGATTGCACTAGTTTTAAACTCCCACCCCACCCAGGGAAAGTCGAAAGATGTGGAGGGTATGTTTGGGTTGTTACAATTATTTGGGGGATGCTACAGGCACTGAATAAGCAAGGCCAGGAATGCTAAATGGCCCACACAGTCCCGTTCAGCGAAGCATTGGCCTTCCTGTTGCTTGAGCCCAGGAGTTCAAGACCAGCCTGGGCGACATGGTGAGACTCCATTTCTACAAATAATAATAATAATAGTAAACCAATTAGCCGGGCATAGTGGTGTGCACCTGTAGTCTCAGCTACTCAGGAGGCTGAATCAGGAGGATCCCCTTGAGTTCAAGAGGTCAAGGCTGCAGTGAGCTCTGTTCTTGCCACTGTACTCCAGCCTGGGCTACAGAGCGAGACCCTGTCTCAATTAAAAAAAAAAATGGCCTCCCCAAATACCTGTGGTGGCCCCACTGTGAAACACTCTGTTGAAAACCATCACATCTAAGCCAGGACCCCAGCCCAGAAGAAACCAAGTGTGCTCTGCCCTATTGGAGATTACAACTGGGGAAGGAAGACAATGGCAAGGACTTGTGCTGCATGAGAGAGTAATGGAAGGGTACCCAGGAACATGTGACAGGTGAATTGACAAGCGTCCAGAGTTCAGAAAAGACCTCCCTTTAAAAGTGCTGGCCGGGCACAGTGGCTCAAGCCTGTAATCCCCACACTTTGGGAGGCCAAGGGGGGTGGATCATGAGGTCAGGGAATTTGAGACCAGCCTGCCCAACATGGCAAAACCCTGTCTCTACTAAAAATACAAAAAATTAGCTGGGCATGGTGGTGGGAGCCTGTAATCCCAGCTACTCAGGAGGCTGAGGCAGGAGAATCACTCGAACCCGGGAGGTGGAGGTTGCAGTGAGCCAAGACTTCACCACTGCACTCCAGCCTGGGTGACAAAAGAGAAACTCCATCTCAAAAAAAAAAAAAAAAGTGCCATTTCAGAACTAAGCTAGACACAAAAGGATTAACGTGGCAGAATTCCACTTCCATGAAGTACCAGAGGACTGAAATTCATGGAGAAAGAAGTAAAAAGGTGGTTGCCAGAAGCTGGGGGAGGAAAGATAGGGACTTATTGCTTAATGGGTACAGCGTTTCAATTTGGGATGATGAGAAAGCTCTGGAGATGGACATTGGTGATGGTTGCGTAACAATGTGAATGCACTTAACGCCACTGAACTGAACTCTTTAATATGGTGGAAAATGGTAAATTTTATGTTATGTGTATTCTACTACAATTTAAAAAACAGTGTTTACAAATCTTAGTTGTGCGCCGCCGTCCCCTGTCAAAAAAGTGTCATTTCAGCTGCATTCTGAAGGAGGGGCAGGACACAACTCACCCATTCATTTGCTGCACGATAGTTGAACAGTACCTGTAAGGCACAGGTTTGGAAGAATTTCTGTCTTCTGCATCTCAAGTTGGATAAATAAAGCAAGGTCTCTGCCTCATGGTGCTTCAGTCCAGCTAGCAAGAGAAGCACGTCTCTCTGGTACACAGAAGAATGAATCCAGAGGAGGGGCCAACACAATGCGGTAGAAACACACCGAGGAGAAAGGCAGTGCATCTGGAGGATGCAGGGAATGAAAGCTCTTTGGAGAAGAGGCCACGACATGATCTTGAGAGGTGGAGGCACTTGTATAGGCTGAGATGGGGGACAAGCCAGCCCAGAAACTGCCTCTTTCCTGGATGGCCCCTGTCCCCAAGGCCATTTGGGGCAAAGGAGCTATTTACTATAGGAAGTGAAGACCCATTTTTCTCCCAGCACCTTTGGTACCTAGAACAGCACTTGGCAAGAAAATAAGTGAATATGAGATGGTATCTGTTTGTGTCTGCACCACGTCGCACACCTGCAGAGGGACAGCTCAGGTTCATTTTTCCCTCATCACTCCAGGGGACAGGGCAAGGCAGGGAAGTTCTAGAGCCCTGTGGTGGTGGGGCAGGGGGGCATGGGCAAAGAAGGAGAAAGGGTGCTCCTGGTCTCCTGGGGGGACCCTTCTGTGGGAAGCCCATGTGCACACACACTCAGAGGCACACAGGTCACAGGATCAGGCAAGAGGCACAGTCCCCAGATGAAGGCAAATTCTAAAAACCCCTTTAGCCTCCTCACCCATGGAACTGTGGACTCCTAAGCTGTGTTGGAGTACATTACTTGCTTAATGAGATTTCAATTAACAAAAACAAATTAAAATCACTTTGGTAATTAAGCTGCTGTGAACCTCGCCAGTAGCTCTCCCTCAGACCTCAGATTTCCGTGGGGGAGGAGCTGGGAACGGGGGTCCACTTGGACTCAGGCAGCAGTGCTGCTGGGACCTAGGCAGGGCAGGGAGTTCCCGCCTTGGGGCTTCCACCACCTCAGCTTCCTCAAGCCAGAGGTGGGTGGAAGGGAGGGTGCAGGACACAGCAGGCAGCACGGGCTCTAAACTTCCATTCACATCGAAGCCCTGCCACTTGGTGGCTGTGTGACCTAGGGCATGTTAATTAGTCTGTCTGAGCCTCAGTTTCCTTGTCTGCAAAATGGGGTAATACTAGTAACGTACATCAATGGGTTGTGGGAAGATTAAAGGAATGAATGCATGAAAGAATTTAGAAGAGGGCCTGTCCCACAGTGGGGGATCTTAACTCACTTTACCCTGTGTGGTGGTATGGGGGGACTTTTCCAGCCTTTATGATTTACCTGGTCCTGAACCCCAAACCCTTCCAGGGAAGCCCTATTTCTCTGAGTTAGGTCAATGAAGATCTACCCATAGAGGTTCCCTTGGAGGTGAGGTTTCTGCAAGTTCTGTCCCACCCAGGCCCCCATCCCTTTTCATCAGCGCCAGCAGCTCAAATCTGGGAGCTATAACACTCAAGTCTCTTCAAGAACAAACACTCCTGTCTCTGGGTCACAAAATCACCCCCATTCTCCCACATGAGAGGCCGCGAGGGTTAAGTAGTGCTGATGTCACTGGCCCCATTCCACAGATGAGTAAAAGGACTTAATGACTTACCTGGTGGCTCAAAGAGAGAAGCAGTGGCCCAGGGCTGGCTGGAATCCGAGGAGCCCACATTCTCATCCAGTGCTAACGGAACTGTAAACAAGTTCAGCCTTTCTGGAGGGTGCAATGCTAAGCGTATAATAAATTGAAATGATTAAGGTTTTAGGTGATTTTTTTTGTTCTTAAAAATTTGTAACATTTACACTTTTGAAGTTATTTATTTATTTTTATTTTATTTTATTTATTTATTTTTTGAGACGGAGCAATCTCGGCTCACTGCAAGCTCCATCTCCCGGGTTCATGCCATTCTCCTGCCTCAGCCTCCTGAGTAGCTGTGACTACAGGCGCCCACCACCGCGCCTGGCTAATTTTTTTGTATTTTTTAGTAGAGACGAGGTTTCACCCAGGTCTCAATCTCCTGACCTTGTGATCCGCCCGCCTCGGCCTCCCAAAGTGCTGGGATTACAGGCATGAGCCACCATGCCCGGCCGCTTTTGAAGTTGTTAAAGCAAAAACTACATTAAGCCTTTAGGGATAGCTCTGTGTGTGTGTGTGTGTGTGTGTGTGTGTGTGTGTATGCTTTACATATAACATGTTTTATTTATAGATATTTATATATATACAAATTCATACACACACACATCCCAAATGCCAAATGTCATTTTTCTCTGTGGTGGTAGAAATTACAGATGGTTTTTGTTTTATATGTTCATTCATTCATTCGTGCAACAAATATTTTTATTTTTATTTATTTTTAATTTTGTGAAGACGTGGTCTCACTGTTGCCCAAGCTGGAGTGCAGTGACATGATCTCAGTTCACTGCAGCCTTGACCTCCCAGGCTCAAGTGATCCTCCCACCTCAGCCTCCCGAGTAGCTGGAACCACAAGTATGCACCACTGCACCCAGTTGATTTTTTTTTTTTTTTTTGAGACGGAGTCTCGCTCTGTCGCCCAGGCTGGAGTGCAGTGGCCGGATCTCAGCTCACTGCAAGCTCCACCTCCCGGGTTTGTGCCATTCTCCTGCCTCAGCCTCCCGAGAAGCTGGGACTACAGGCGCCCGCCACCTCGCCCGGCTAGTTTTTTGTATTTTTTTTTAGTAGAGACGGGGTTTCACCGCGTTAGCCAGGATGGTCTCGATCTCCTGACCTCGTGATCCGCCCGTCTCGGCCTCCCAAAGTGCTGGGATTACAGGCTTGAGCCACTGCGCCCGGCCTGATTTTTTATTTTTTATAGCGACAAGGTCTCTCTATGTCGTCCAGGCTGGTCTTGAGCTCCTGGACACAAGCAATCCTACCGCCTCGGCCTCCCAAAGTGCTCAGATTACAGGCATGAACCACTGTACCTAGCATATAAGTATGTTTAGTGTCTGTGAAATAGCACAATGAACAAGACAGACTTAAACCCTGTCTTCGGGAAACTCACAGCCTGTTGATGAAGATGGACATTGAACACAAAACAACAAGGTGAATGTTATAGAAGAGGAAGGGTGGGGCCTCAGAAGCCCATTACAGAAGGAAGCCATGGAGAGGGTGAGGTCTGCAATAAGCATTTATTTCTTTTGTAATTAGACTAAAATAAAACAATGTATACATTTTTTAAATGAATCCCAAGGGTCCCATAACTAGTTAGTAACAGAACTGAAAGTGGAAACTAAAAGCCTTCTGGCTCCCAGGCAAGTGATTTTTTTTTTTTTTTAACTGACACCCATACCCTGGGAAGTTTGAACAGCATCCTAGTCTTCAGTAAAAAATATCTCAAACTCTCAAAGGAGATGTCTGACGGAGGTGGTCCTATCATCTATGCACCTCGTGTCAGATGGAGGAGATATATCCCCATTCATACATCCATGTCAGATGGAGGAGGTTTTGTGTACACACACACACACACACACACATACACACACACACTCCTCTGACTCCTCCTGGCATGCCCTCCTTCATCTGTGTGGCCTTTCTGAGTGATGAGAGATGTCCCTGGGATCCAGAAAGGGTCACTCCCGTTGGCCACACACATACACTCCATGCCAGATGGTACTGGGTCAATGGGCAGTGGGCATCTCACCACCCCTCATCTCTGGAGGAGGAGTCCCAAACATTCCTTGCTCTCAGTGGCCCCAGTCTCCCCACCGGCTGACCTCCAGTCCTGTTTCAACCCACCCTGGCCTTGTCTGCCATCTGGGGGCCAGGCAAAAGGGAGAACATCTCAGCACCCAGAACCTCCTACCATCTGCTCCTTCACACTCCCTGAGAAGTGCTAATCTCGCCAGGCTCTTCCCCGGCAGACCCCTTTGCCCTGGGGAAGGTGAGGGTGGTGCCATCCTCTAAGTGCCCAGCTTGGGTGAGGGCTGCTGGAGCCATGATGCCCTCCACTGGGAGATACCACCTGACTCCATGCGCCGTCCTCTCCTCCCCTCAGACTTCATGTATCATATTTTGTGCTGACTTCAGACAATCAAGGGAGGAGGACACAGAGTTGTACTTTCCAAGTAGCTGGCAACCCTTAATCAATGTTAATTGGCTCTAATTAGCATATGTTAATTAATGATATTTACCACAAATTAAAGGTATGAGTGCTCCCAGAGGGTTTCCTGTTCATCCAATTAGTGCCAATTAGTTGCAATTAACACATGTAAATGAGATTCCATTGAACCCAAAACAAACAGCACAGAATCTCTCAGATTCCCCCTTGCACCTTTTCAATCAGCCAGAGGAGGAGGTGGAGTGTGGAAGGTGAGGGAGAGACAGGAGAGAGAGAGAGAGGCCCCCCCCAGGCTGATATCTTGCAGCAAACTGACCCTCACACCCACCCGGAATGAGAGCAGGCAGAGCCACACTGGGCAGAGCAAGCCCCTGAGCATGGTCTGCTGCCCCTGGCACTCCCTAGGGAGGGCTCCCTAAGGACGCTGGCCTTGAGCTGCTCTTTAGAGCTGAGGGCCATCCCTTGGACATCTCTGAACCTGCCAGGGCTTAACCCAGTGCATGGCACATAGTGGGTGCTCAGTAAAAATAAAATTGTGGGCCAGGCACGGTGGCTTATGCCTGTAATCCCAGCACTTTGGGAGGCCAAGGTGGGCGGATCACCTGAGGTCAAGAGTTCAAGACCAGCCTGGCCAACATTGTGAAATCCTGTCTCTACTATAAATACAAAAATTAGCCAGGCGTGGTGGTGCGTGCCTGTGATCCCAGCTACTCTGGGGGCTGAAGCAGGAGAATGGCTTGAACCTGGGAGGGGGAGGTTGCAGTGTGCCAAGATCATGCCACTGTACTCCAGCCTGGGCGATAGAGTGAGACTCTGTCTCAAAATAAATAAATAAATAAATAAATAGGCTGAATTAAAAGTTGGTTTTCTTGCATCAAGGTCCAATATCTTTAAATATATAAAATCAAAATGTATAAAATAAATAAAATTATATAAAATATATATATAATATATAAAATGTATAAAATTAAAGGCCGTAATTTTTTTTTAAGTATGCAATGTTCTCTTCTCCATAGGGTCTTCCCAAAGGGGTGTATCAAGGGGCAAAGTAGGATATGCCACTATGACGTAATTTTTTGGAGAGAAGTCTCTCTCTTGTCCCCCAGGTTTGAGTGCAATGGCTTGATCTTGGCTCACTGCGACCTCCGCCTCCCAGGTTCAAACGATTCTCCTGCCTCTGCCTCCCAAGTAGCTGGATTAAGGCGCCTGCCACCATGCCTGGCTAATTTTTGTATTTTTTAGTAGAGACAGGGTTTCACCATGTTGGCCAGGCTGGTCTCAAACTCCTGACCTCAGGTGATCTGGCTGTCTTGGCCTCCCAAAGTGCTGGGATTACAGGCGTGAGCCACCGCACCCAGCCTATGATGTAATTTTAATATAATCTATATATGTCCACAGAGATTTTACTTCACTGTTAATGTTATTTCTTTTTTACTCAATTACTCTCTGAGGCCCAAACCTCTGTCATGGCTAGAGAAACCGCTACCATGAACAGTCAACTGCTACCCGCAACCAGCCCAGCGGCTCACACATGTAATCCCAGTTCCGTGGCTCACACCCGTAATCCCAGCACTTTGGGAGGCCCATTCAGGAGAATCACTTGAAGCCAGGAGATCGAGACTAGCCTGGACAATGTAGCAAGACCCCATCTCTATCTTTAAAAAAAATGCCACCTCAAACTATCCACCACACAGAACCCTCTATAAAACCGTGATGTAAGATATAACTCCCAATAACTTTTTTATTCCTAGCTCACTTTTGCTACACCAAACTTTTCCATTAATGTTGATATTTATTATTTTATTTTAGAGACGGAGTCTCTCTCTGTCATGCCCAGGCTGGAGTGCAGTGGCGTGATCTTGGCTCACTGCAACCTCCCCCTCCCAGGTTCAAGTGATTCTCCCGCCTCAGTCTCCCAAGTAACTGGGATTACAGGCGCCCGCCACCACGTCCGGCTTTTTGTATTTTTAATAGAGACGAGGTTTCACCATATTGGCCAGGCTGGTCTTGAACTCCCGACCTCAGGTGATCCGCCAGCCTCAGCCTCCCAAAGAGCTGGGATTACAAGTGTGAGCCACCGTGCCCAGCCAATATGTACTATTTTAAAATACTGACTGTTGACAGTGTCAGGTGCTGCTTCAGGGGCTGGGGATTCAGGAGGGAACAAATTGTCTATGAATTCCAGCCCTCGTGTAGCTCACATTCCACCGTGTACTATTACCTCCCAGCTTGGGATTCGGATGTATCTGGAGTCAGAGTGACTTGGGTTCGTATCCCAGTGCTTCCTCTCAGCAGCTGTAGGGTAGGGTTATTTAATCTGACTGGGCCTCAGTTTATTTATCTGTAACATGGGTATGCTGATACCTATCTCAGAGGAATATTACTGGGAGGATTAAGCTCCTTCCCTTGTCCCATTCCCTGGTGGGGCAGAGTTTGGAGTTAAGCCACAAGGAAGGTAGAAAAGAGGGAGGTAAAAGCCAGAAGCTCACTCTGGGCCCGCAAACGAATGTCTGATTAAGTCCTCCTCTCGATGTCTGGGTTGGCTATCCAGGCTGGCCACGACAGTCCCTCCTACCTGTGCGGCACTTCACAGTTTACAATGCTATTGCACGACTAGCCTCCCAGCAAATTCTCATCACCCACACACTGG